ATGCTGGCGGGGCAGCCATGCTGGCGGGGCAGCCATGCTGGCGGGGCGGGGAAGAATCTAACTTTCCAGGGTGGAGGGAAAGGCAGCCTGGCCTTTGGTGATGGTAGGGCCACACGCGTGCGCGCGCGCGCACGCACACACACACACACACAGTATGATGTGCCGCTCAAAGTCTGTCCAATGCTCTTCAGCCTTCCAGTTGCCCAACTTTTGAGCTGTTTTTCCTTCCGTTTCCAGGCAGATACTAGGAAACACCGCCATCCCGTGGCCGCGGCTGACACACGCCCCAGCCCGCAAGCCGCCGAGACTTGGGTGGCCTTGTTTAATGATTAAACCGGAGAGCACACCGAGCGAGGCAGCGGCTGAGGCAAAGCAGCAGCGACTGCAAAGGTGTCGTTAACGTCTTCCAGAAAGCACCCGAGCCCATCTCTCTGCACTCTTCCTTACTTTGCTTTAAAAACAGAAACAAGAAACAAACCAGAAAGCCCAGCCTAAGTCTTTGGCTGCTGGCGGAGCGCCATCGCCGGCACCCTTAGTGCAGCCCCCTGGGCGCTGTGGCTCCGCAAGATTCCGCACTGTCTGTCTCCCGGCGATTTCCCTCCGCGGTGGCAGGATTCCCACGGTAGGAAAAACCCAACTCAGAGGTTTCCACTTCTTTACGCTTATTTAAGCTGAACGGTCGGGGCGGATCACCCCGCGCCTCTAAACCTCAGCTACTCCATTTGTAAAATGGAGCCGCCGTCCTCACGCGGAGGCTGCAGAGGTCACCTGAGTGCACAGGTCCTCTTCCTTCGCAGGGCGGGCACGCGGGCATCGTCACCGGGGGCCTCGGTGCCCTCGGGGGGGGCTCGGCAGACCCCCGCGGGCCCCCTGCGTGGGCGGCAGCCCGGCTCCGCCGGCGTCGCAGCAGGCGGCAGGTGCGTGGGCGTGAGTCCCGGGCGCGGGCGCGGCCCCCGGGCACGCTCGTTCCCCGCGGTTCCGATCCAGGGCTGGGGCTGTGTGGATAATTCAATCCCCGTGGGACAGGCGCGAGGCCGCGGCCCGGGCTCGGTGGATTGGCTGTCGGGCGCCCCCCCCCCCCGCCCGGCGCGCACCCCAGCCGCGTCCCAGGCGGCCGGGCCCCTGCGGAGACCTGTTTACCGGGTCGGAGCGGGCTGCGCCTCCGCCGGCAGAGGCTGCCCGGGGCCCCCTCGCCCGTCCCCTGCCCCCGGCGCCGGGAGAGGTCGGGTAAGAGCGGGAGGCTCGGAGAGGAGGAGCCCCGGCGGGGACCCCGGGCCCGCGCGCTCGCAGGACCTCCACGCGCCCACCCTGGCGAGCCGCTCGGGCTGCTCTCGGGGAGCCGGCTCCCCGGCGGAGGCGCAGGCGCGGGGCCCCCTTCACGGTGTGTCCCCACCCCGGCAGGCGGCGATGACCCCCAGGCCGGCCGGACCCCCGGACGGGGGCTGGGGCTGGGTGGTGGCGGCCGCGGCGTTCGCCGTGAACGGGCTGTCCTACGGGCTCTTGCGCACCCTGGGCCTGGCCCTCCCGGACCTCGCGGAGCACTTTGAACGGAGCGCCCAGGACACTGCGTGGGTCAGCGCCCTGGCCTTGGCCGTGCAGCAGGCAGCCAGTGAGGGGGGCCCCCGGCGGGGGGCGGGCGCGGGAGGGCCGCGGAGATGGGGGTCGGCGGGCCCGGGCTTCCGTGGAGCCGAGCTCTGGCAGAGGGGGGCTCCGGGCGAAGAGCCGCCAACCAGCGCTGGAGACGGCTCGGGGGTCCCGGGGCGTGTCTCCGTTGACTCCGCCCCCTTCCAGGCCCAGTGGGCAGCGCCCTGAGCGCGCGCTGGGGGGCGCGCCCGGTGGTGATGGCGGGGGGAGTCCTGACCTCGCTCGGCCTGGTCTTCTCCGCTTTCGCCCGAAGCCTCCTGCACCTGTACCTCGGCCTGGGCCTGCTCGCTGGTAAGGAGATCGGGGCGCCCTGTGCTCCGGGGGCGAGTGTGGGCGGGGGGGGGGCGGTGACGCGTGCCGGCGGAGCCATTCCGGACCCCGTCCCGTCCCGTCCAGGCTCCGGCTGGGCCCTGGTCTTCGCGCCCGCCCTGGGCACCCTGTCTCGCTACTTCTCCCGCCGCCGCGTCCTGGCGGTGGGGCTGGCGCTCACCGGGAACGGGGCATCCTCGCTGCTGCTGGCGCCCGCGCTGCAGCTCCTGCTGGACGCCTTCGGCTGGCGCGGCGCCCTGCTCCTGCTGGGCGCCGTTACCCTGCACCTCACGCCCTGCGGCGCCCTGCTCCGACCCTTGGCGCTCTCCGGGGACCCCCCGGCCCCGCCCCGCACGCCCCTGGCCGCGCTCGGCCTGGGCCTCTTCAAGCGGCGGGCCTTCTCCGTCTTTGCCCTGGGCACCGCCTTGATTGGGGGCGGGTACTTCGTCCCCTACGTCCACTTGGGTCCGCACGCCCTGGACCAGGGCATGGGGGGCTACGGGGCGGCGCTGGTGGTGGCCGTGGCCGCCGTGGGCGATGCCAGCGCGCGGCTGGCCAGCGGGTGGCTGGCGGACCAGGGCTGGGTAGCCCTCCCGAGACTTCTGGTTGTGTTCGGGTCTCTGACTGGCCTGGGGGTACTGGCGGTGGGACTGGTGCCCACGGTGGAGACGGAGGCGGCCTGGGGGGCTCCCCTGCTGGCCGCTGCGGGGGCCTACGGCCTGAGCGCCGGGAGCTACGCCCCGCTGGTTTTCGGGGTGCTCCCGGGGCTGGTGGGCATCGGCGGCGTGGTGCAGGCCACGGGTCTGGTGATGATGCTCATGAGCCTCGGCGGCCTGCTGGGCCCGCCCCTGTCAGGTAAGGACGCAGCCCGGGCTGGCTCCGGGGCGCAGGCCGCTGCCGGGAGGGCCGGCCTCCTCAGCCCCCGCCTCTCCTCAGGCTTCCTAAGGGACTCGACGGGAGACTTCCGCGCCTCCTTCCTGGTGTGCAGCTCCTTCATCCTCTCCGGCAGCTTCGTCTACCTGGGGCTGCCCCGGGCCCTCCCCTCCTGCCGCGCGGCCGCCCCTCCGCCCACCCCTCCCCCCGAGAGAGGGGAGCTGCTCCCGCTGCCGCAAGTCTCCCTGCTGCCCGCAGGGGGCGCTGGTTCCGCCCGGGAGGCCACGTGCTGACCGTCTTCTTGTTTGTCCCTAATAAAGAGGTTTTTACCTGACTCTCCTGAAAGCTCCAGGAGCCAAACCACGACCCTGAAAATCTTTACTGACGAGCTCTCAGAAATGGAGCAGAAAGCAAGGGGACCCCAGCAGCCCCGCTGTGAGGAAGGATGTCTGTCCAGCCAGTTTGCCTGAGCCGCCTGAGAAGTTACCAGTTTCCGTTTGTTAGGGGCGTATCTAAACCTCGTGTTTTTAAATTAGCTTTATTTGTGTGTTTGTGAAGGCCAGATCTCCTGGAGCGGGCCTTTCGGGCGTTCTGAGCTGCCTGGTGTGGATGTCAGGAGCCGGGCCGGTCACGGGGAAGAGCAGCATGCAGCATAAGTGCTGGGCGCTCTCGGGATTTCTGTTTAGTGTGTGAGAGACCTGAGTGTGGACCCCGGATCTGCACCGTAGGTGGCCGCGAGCCCGCCCCCTCGTGTGGGCGCTCTGACAGAGCGGGAGTGCTCCTAACTGCCGAGCTTTCTTGGCAGCCCCGCCTCATGCTTCCTGCTTTTTGACCTGCCCTCGTTACCATCCGGGCACAAGTGCCCACCTTCGTGCCCAGCGCTTGGGAGGAGGCCAGGTCTCAAGTTCAGAGGCTCCCTGGCGAGGCTAAAAAGTTAAGGCTCTTAGGTGTCAGCTACCAGGTCGTTTCTGCGCCGGAGACACCGTCCACACACGCCTTTCCTCCCTTTTCCTCTGTATCACAGCAGTGGTGAAGAGGGAGGCGAGCACACAGACGTTAACAGAGCTCTTGGACAGCTCCTTCCTCGGCCGTGGTCCTATTAGCTGTCCCAAGCACCTGGACCCCAGCTCTTCTTGAGGTTACAATTCTAGTCCAGTTTCATTATTTGTTTTGTATCCAAGCGACACCAGAAATCACATATAGAAACATGAGAAGATTCTTGGCCTTAGAGTTTCACATTTGATTGAGAACTCACTGGAGTGAGATCTGGAGCCTCCGGAACAGGAGGTGACGTGAGAATCCTCAACAAAGTACTGAGGGTTGGCACACACATCGAAGGAGCCTGGGCCTGCCCCGGAGGAGGCAGAGGAGGCTCCTAAGGCACAGTGCTGCTGTGGACACCTGAGGAGGCCGGAGACCTGGCGCTGTCAGGCTCCGGCTTGCCGGCCGTGGCCACTCAGGGCCACTCAGTCCTCTCCCAGGCCCTCCTCCTTGGGCAGGGGAACTCTGGTACCCAGGGCCTCTCTTACGAGGTCCTGGGGTCTGGAGGTAGACGAGGAGATGCAGGAGAAGAAACGGGGCAGGGTGACCAGAATGCTGCTCCCTGCGAGAAGGAAGGCCCCAGCCACCACGAAGGAAGCTGTGTAGCTGCCGGTCACATCCCGGAGGTAGCCTGGGTCCAAGAGAGGAAGAGAAGCAAGCGTGGGTGCCCTGCACCTGGCTGACGGCTCAGACCCATCGTCTCAGCGCAGCCTCAGAATGTCACTCCGGCCGCCACCCTCCCTGCAGAGAGGATGTCCAGACCGGCAGGGACCAGCATTAGGTCGGGTGTGTCTGTGCTCGGCTCCCAGCCTTCGGTTAATAGGTGAGAGGAAAGTGTTACAGATCAGGAGCTTCTGGCATCTTGCGCATGGACCTTTACCCGGAGCTTTCAGACACCTGGGCAGGGGCCCCAGTGGGCCAAACGGAAAAAAAACCAGACGCTGACTAGGTCAAGCCAGGTCTTCTCAACACCCGGCCTTTGGTCTCACCGAGTTCCCCTTTGTCTTTGCACCCTGACCCCAGTTCTGTCCCCCTGCTAACCACCTCTTGGCTGTTCTGACTGGCTCAGGCTGCTAACCCACCCCGGAGGGCACCATTATCTATACTGTTGAGAACAGTTCCTCCCCCCAGTTTCACAACATGGCCTCCCTGTTGGCAACCCCACTTCCCTTACCTGATAGAGGGGCTCCCAGTAGCCCCCCGATGCTCTCTATCATCTGCACCAGCCCCAGGCCACAGTAAATCCGTCCAGTCCCCACCAGTTCAGGAAGCACAGAAAAGGCAACTGGGGTCAGGGCCCCTGATGTGAAGCCGTAGGCCACAGCCAGAACCACCAGGCTGGTGGGAGCCTGAGCCACGGGGAACAGGGCCAGTGACACCCCAGTCAGGGTGGTCCAGACCATCAGGAGTCGAGCCACGGGCCCTGGGACAGCGTCCCCCAGCCAACCAGATGCCACGCGGCCCACGAGGTCAGAAACAGCGGCTACCGAGAGCAGGAAGGCAGCGGGCAGCGGGGCCCAGCCCAGGTCCTGCAGGTGGGCCACCAGGTGGACGTAGGGGACGAAGTAGCCGGTGTTGATGAGTGTGAGGGCAGCAGTGTAGCGGAGGAAGGGGCCGTGGCGGAGGAGGGAGGCGAGCTGGGCCCCGGGGCCGCCCACAGCAGTGTCTTCCTTCAGGGAGAGCGGGCGGAGGAGAGCCCCGCAGGCCAGCAGGTGCAGGGACAGGGCGGACACCAGCAGGAGGGCGCCCCTCCAGGCATAGCTGTTGATCAGCCACTGGAAGAGGGGCGCGAATGCAAAAGAAGACAGGCCTACGCCCGTCAGTGCCAGCCCCATGGCCAGAGATCGACGCTGAGAGAAGTAGCGGGAGAGGCAGGCGAGGGTCGGAGTGAAGGTCAGGGCCCAGCCAGAGCCTGTCAAAAGGAAAACAAGGGGGGGTGCTTTGGGGCGCTCAGGACTCCCAGTCATCCAACAGCGCCCAGCCCCTGCCGGCCCCCACGCCCGTGAAACCCGGAGGCTTAATTCTCGCAGTGTGATCCTGTGTGTTCTGCTTGCTCGCCCTGCTTTCCGAGGCGGGTTGGCGCATTTCACAGCCGCGGTTCTCGACCCTCCTAGAGGACCCTGAGAAAGGGTCGTTTCCGCCCCAAAGGGGTCGTGACCCGGAGGCTGGAAGCCACCGCTTTCTGGGAGGACAAGAGCTAGTGCCACTGAAGTAACCAGCACGGAGCTTGGGAGGCAGAGCGCCACCTCTACCGTTCCTGGTTGCGCCAGGCTGCCTGGGCCCGGGTGTGTGGGCAGCGGTAAGAGTCAAAGGCTTTTTATTATTTCCTGCAGAAGGCCGTGCCACCCATTTCAGTCGCTACCCAGCTCGGTCTGAGGCTCCCTTCCACACTGCGGTGCGATGGGTCGGGGCTTGTGTTTCCTGGATGATCTCTGACTTAGCCTAAGAATTCCCTTCAGGGCACAGGCTCTCCCTGGGCCTTTCCGGGCCGAGGTGGAGCATCCAGGGGCTCAGATGCGGGCCTGGCACTGTGCCCCGGGTCTCACCTGACAGCAGCCCGATGCTCAGGTAGAGGTGGGTCAAGGAGGTGGCAAACGAGGCGAGCAGCAGCCCGAGCGCGGCCAAGACGCCCCCAGTCATCACCACAGGCCTGGGCCCCCACTTCGTGCTCAGGGCACTGCCTACGGGGCCTGGGGAAGCGGGACGGGTTCTGCGCGCGCTCTGCGCCGCCCCCCCCTCCGCCTCCTCCCGCCCCCCGCCGAGCCCCTCTCCGGCCCGACGGCGCGGGCGCGGCACTCACTCCCGAACTGCTGCACCGCGATGCCGATGGAGGCGATCCAGGACACGCCGGCCGCCTGCTCCCCGAACGCCGCCACGAACTCCACGAAGAAGACGCCGAAGGAGCGGAGCACCCCGAACACCAGCGCCGACTGGAGGAACGCCGCGAGCACCACCATCCAGCCCCAGCCCCCGTCGGGGGGCTCGGCCCCGCGCGCCATCCCGGAGCGGCCGGGCCTCCCGCCGCCCTGCGGCCGCTCGGCGCCAAGCCCGGGAGGTCGCTGCCCCGCGAGCGCCCCCGAGGGCCCCGGCTCAGCCCGCGCCGGGGGTCCAGGCCCGGGTGGGCCCGAGAACAAAGCCGGGCGGGCCGCGGCCCCGAGGCACCCGGCGCGGGCCTCGCTTACCTCTGCGCCTCGGCACCTGCCCGAGCGCCAGCGCCCAGCCCCGGCTCGCCAATGGGGACGCGGGTGTCCAGAGCAGGGGGCGGGTCCGCGGGGCGGGGCGGGACTGACGGCGTCGCCGGGACCCGCCGGGACGCGGGGGCGCATGCGCAGGGAGGGGCACGCGGCCGAGGGCGCCCACGTGACGGGGGACCTACCGCGAGGCTTGTGCGCGTGCGCCGAGGCTCGCGTCTGAGCGCCGGTGGCGGGCGCTGTCTTGCCGGGGGAGGGGTCGGGCGTGTGGGTACCGAGGCTTGCCAGGCGGGGCTCAAACAAGCGACAGGGCGGCCGGAGGCAGGCCAGGCTCGCGGGCAGCGGGGCCAGTTCCGCCGCCCCGGCCTCGGTGTTTCCAGCAGTCGAAGGGGGTACAGTGCTTTGCCACTCGGCGTTCGCGCTCCAGTGCTGCTGGGGGCGGGGGGCGAGGACGGGGGCCCGTGGGAGCCCTGGCATTCGTTTCTGCCGTGAAAACTTGTTCCTGCCCTCACCAACAGGAAGCGCGCGGCGAGCGGGTCGCCGAGACCAGAAATAACTGGGCAGAGGAAGGACGGCGGCCGGGCCACCAGAGGCCCTACCCCCACCCCCCACCCTAGCCTCAGCGGTGCTGCAGTAGCCATGAGACAAGCTGTGACCTGGTCACTGGAGCGATCCGTGGCTCACCGTGGCCTAGGAAGCCCCGTCCCATGACAGCCATGACTTAGGCTTCCGTTTCTACACCTCAGGCTCCCCAAGACTCCGACCTTGAAACCTTGGACTCAGAATTCACACCCAGACCGGCGGGGAAAGAGGCCCACCACAGGGAGATGGGATAAGAAGCCAGGCTTTTAGAAAGCATGCTTAGGTTGTGGCGCGATAGCTCGGCAGCTAAGGGTGTTCTCTCGGGAACGGGTTCGGTTCCTGCTCCCACACGGGTCCACACGTGGCCTGTAGCCCCTGTTCCTGGGCTTCCTACCCCATCTCCCGGCCTCCGCGGGCGCTGCACCTATGTGGGTCACGTGGGTACATGTAGGCAAAACACTCACACGTGAAAACGCACAGGCCATGTTGGATTGCACAGGCCTGTCCGCAGCTCCAGCTGCTTAAAGAATGAGGTCGGAGGGGGCTGGGGCTGAGCTCAGGGCTTGCCTGAACTCAGTGAGGTAAAGGCTGGCCAGGACAGTCTGGCGGCCCTGCCTGGAGGAAATACACGTTGCGTTGCTGCATTGGCATGCGTGTTACTCCGGCGCTTGGGGACAGCCAAGTCTGAGGCCAGCCTGAGCTGTCCCTGTGGCCTCCACACGGACACATGCCACGGCGTGTGCCTCACAGTCGTGTGCAGTAACAAAGTAGTCGTTGAGATTTAGGAAACTGAATCCAGGGCGCTTTGGCCTGATGGGGAAGTCCCTGGGCCCAGTCCCTTGCATCAGGCAAAACCACACCGAACGGTCGTAAAGGTTCTCCGTCGTCTACAGGGAACTAGGACACCACGACGCTATGGGTGCCGTGGGCCCACGCCTCGGGAGGACTATGCCGACGTGTACAAAGTAGACGATTCAGGAGTCGGAGCCCAGACTTCAGATCTTTAGAATCATGTCCCAATCTTGGCTTCACTCGTTCCATGGTCAAGGTGCGTAACTTCTCAGCTGGCTTCCTCATCTCTACACTGGGCAGAGCACCCCCTGCCTTTTTGGGCTGCCAGTGGGTTAAGTTATAAGTCTGCGCTGAAATGCTCTGTGTAGGGCCTGGCATTCAAGCGTGGTAATCGCTGTTCTTATTTTCCATAGGGGAGTAGCTGCACTGGAAGGTGATGGGGACTTCTGCCTAGGTTCTCTGTGTGTGTGTGTGTATAACCTAGGTTATGGAATTGTAAAACACAAACACAAGCAGCCACAACAGCAGATTATCAGGGAGAACATTATACTGAAGAAAAACACAGCACAGCCACACAGTGGGGGGCACTGCAGGGCACACATCCGTCTCTATCACAGCCGAGGAAAGTCCAACCGGGAGATAAGAGGATTAGTGACTTCTGGCCTCAGGCTAGAACACTGCCTTCTGCCGGCCGCTGTAGCCAGCCTCGTTCTCAGGGTCCCAAGCCCCGCCCGTCGTCTTTGGTTGTGCCAGGGTGGGTCTCTCATGAGCCTTGAGAACCCGGGCTGGCGCAGATGCGTCCCCAGAGCCCGGGTGCTTTCCCACTTTCTCCCCGCAGCCTCCACACCTCAGGAAGTGACCTCAGGCCAGCAGGATGCAGGTGGCTCCGGATAAACCCAATGAAATCACTGGTTCCTACACAATGAGCCGGATGGCTAGGGCAGGGGAGGGAGAGCCCGGACCACTGAAAGGGCTAGTGTGATGGAACAGTGGAACTAAGGAAGAATCTGAGTTATGATTAGTTTTTCAGACTTTCCAGGATCCCAGGTCCCTCCTCCCCCCACAAACAGAAACCTGGGACACAGCAGGTGGACAGAGAGGGGCTTCTTTATTCCAAGGATCTGATCCCGCAGCATCCAACATCTCAGCCCCTGGCACTTCCCACTCGTATCCAGTCTGCTAAAGAGAACTCATAATACCGTCTCAATCTCTGCTCCGCTGTCTCCACCCCACACACACACAGGCTGACGGGTGAAACGGAAGAACGGCCTTCTCACCAGGCGCCAGCCGTAGGCCACAGGGCCGCCTCAGCTGGGGACTCTGCTTTACATCTTCACGTCTTCTTGCCGTTCTCCCAAGTCCTGTAACCTCAGTCCCAGGGTGGCAGGAGCAGGGCTCTGCCCTACACCAGGGCCCCAGACGTCCAACACTCCAGACTCCATCTAGCTACAAACTGCAGCCCTCAACCAACCTATCTGGCAACTTGTTCATGGGGAAGTGGTCTTTGGCCAACCCACCAATTGGTCTCTTAAAGCCTTGAAGTATGTAATTGCAACAATAATCCCCAGTGACAACAAACACAGAATAGAGCTCGGCCTGGCTTCCTTCCTCTGTGCAGCCTAGGACGCTCAGTGGTCCCAGGAGCGACAACGGTGGAAATCTGAGTTAGACCCAGATTTCCTAAGGTAAGAGAGTTACTAAGCACCCTTGAAAGAAGAACTTCTTGGAATCTGGACACTTGCCAGAAATTGTCCAAAAACAACACATTCAGAGAAGAAGGGCATATTGAACCCAAAGGAACATTCAACCCCAGCCACTCATGCGGCCCAGGATTCTGCAGACTCACGGTGGAGGGAAGTGGTGTCACTGACTCTAGCCTTCTCAGAAACCGGACAGATGAGAACGGACAGATTGCAGAGCTCTCCCCGTGGGGTGTTAGCTCAGCCAGGACGCAGGCTGACCTCGGGTTCAGCTCAAACCCTTAGGCTCTCTCTCTGACAGAGGGACAGCATGGGGTCAAATCCTGGGGACTAGATCAGTGGAACAGTTTAGATGCTGGGCCTTCCCAGAAAGACTACCCACCTCCGTGGAGGCTAGTGAGGAATCCAGCCTTCAGGAGGAATTTATTATCTACATTTTGGGTTCATCAAAAAGGTTCCCATCACCCTCAAAGAGCTGAAGGTTTCCTTCCAGGTCTAGCCTGCTGCAAAACCATCCAAAATACCAGGGAGGATGCTTCACCCAACCACATGTGTTCCCAGGGCCTAGGAGAACTGAAGCTTCTAGCCCGAGAACCTCGGGACAGGGCAACAAGCAAACAACGAGGAAAAAGGACGACTCAAAAGGGAAATGTTACAGCAAAAACAATGCGGAGACGCTCAAGCCAAAGGAGAAAGCCAAGTGCTAGGTCTCTCTGCCAGCAGAGGCGTGCCCTCACCCGTGTCCACTCACTTTTGATCACACTCGTGGAAGAAGAAAGTCGGAAAGGCAAAACAGAATGAAGGCCCTGTGCCACCCACAGACCCTAATAAATTATATTTACACATAAACCATTGGGGGGGGGGGCGCAGTTCCTTGGAGCAGGTCCCTGGCGCGGCTCCTTTCCCCCAGTCCCTAGCTACCCAGTCTGGATTGTGAGGAAGAGGTTTTGACCAGCAAAACAGAGGCTGCTCCAACCGGGATCAGCCTCCCCTGCTCTCCTCAGTAATGAACAAGTTTGGTTACTTAGGTAATGAAGCTTCTGATGGCAGGGCGGCCTGGCGCACCCCACATCACGCCTCAGCCTACGCTCTCACAGCCCCTAGGGAGCGAGTCGGGGCGCAGGCGGGGCGCAGCTACGGCCCCCCAGGAGGTGGTATCGCACTTTGGTATTGGTCGCGGCCCCGTGCTTCTGACGCAGGTGCAGCCGCAGCTGACTCTTGTGCCGAAAATGCAGGCCGCAGGGGTCGCACTGTGGGAAGAACGGGGCCCCAGTCAGGGCCCCAGCTGTCCACAAGCAGCTTCGCTGGGCCGGGGAGGGACTGTGTGCGCGCTGACACGCAGCCTCCGGCACGCCCTTCTGATTCCTCTGGGCCTAGCTTTGCTTAAGCATCGGCCCCTATCGGGTCCCGGACAACAGCGCCCGTCCGCGCATAACCGTCCCCACCCTGTCCCGGGCCCAGCCCACTCCCCAGAAATCAGCGCCCCGGGTAGGAGCCGCCCCGCCAAGACCCGGCTGCGCAGGGTACCCACGTGGTACGGCTTCTCCCCCGTGTGGATGCGAACGTGGCTTTTGAGGGTCTGCAGATGGCGGAAGCGGGTTCCGCAGGTGGGGCACGGGTAGGGCTTCTCTCCCGTGTGGATGAGCACGTGCGCGCGGAGGTGCGCCACCTGAGGGGGCGGGGCCTTGAGAGGGCCTGGGGGTGGGCAGGCCCTGTCCCCTCCTCCCAGCGGCCTCCCAGCCCTCCCCTACCTGAACGAAGCGCGAGCCGCACGTCTCGCACTGGTACGGCTTCTCTCCGGAGTGGATGCGGCTGTGCGTCTTCAGGTTAGCCGGGCGGTTGAAGCGCGCTCCGCAGACGGCGCAGCGGTAAGGCTTTTCTCCTGCCAGCGGGGAGAACAGCCAGAGAGCCGTGGAGGGCGGCGGCCGCGAAGACCCAGGCCCCTCCCCCTGTCTGTGCGCTCCTCCTACCTGCGCGCTCCTCCTGCCTGTGTGTGCTCCTGCTGACTGTGTGCGCTCCTCCTGCCTGTGCGCGCTCCTCCTACCTGTGTGCGCTCCTCCTACCTGCGCGCTCCTCCTGCCTGTGCGCGCTCCTCCTGCCTGTGCGCGCTCCTGACCGTGCGCGCTCCTCCTGACCGTGCGCGCTCCTCCTGACCGTGCGCGCTCCTCCTGCCTGTGTGCGCTCCTCCTGCCTGTGTGCGCTCCTC